AGTTAACGTTCAATTTATTGGGCTGGGTGAATAAGAAAAAAAAGCACCCAGTAACTTGCTTTGGTCACCTTTAACTGAATAAAAACTTTACCAATTTTGCTCAAATTATTATTCACGTTTTAAAGAAATTGCTTAAAGCTGAGCAATTACTTAAAAAACGGTGAGTAAAAGTAATTGTTTATTTTTTTTCACCTGGCATAAATAGATAAATTCTCCTACATAAACACCTACGGACTGAAAAATAATAATTAACTCCGTAAAATAGACAATCTTCAAAGGCTTCAACAAAACTAAAGTTAAACTTTTATTTCGCCAGGTTCTAAATAAAATACTTTAAATTTTTAACAAATCCGATTCAATTAGGTTCTCTTAAACTATATTGAGCCAGTAAAAATTTAAATTGAAATTTTTAAGTATCTCAAGCTGCACGAGATGTTGTTAAAAACGTTCATATTTTTCTTTTTCGCTAAACGAGGGAAAAGTTTTACCTTGCCATACTTTCCTCTTCAATTAATCAATATTCTTTTCACAAAAATAAACTCCGTTTACAATACAGTATAAATATTGCAATAATATTTTTGTGAAAGGACAATGCAAATAGTATAAGACTAATTTAAAGCAGAGAACAAAAAAAAAAAAAAAAAAAAAAAAAACTAATAATAAAAAAAGAACTCTCCAGAAAAAAGTATATATATATATAAATACAAAAATACTACTGCTACTAATAATAATAATACAATAAACAAACACAACAACCAAAGGAACGAGAAATAAAGTTATTTATATATAATAATAATTCTAATAATAATACTAAAACTAATAAAAACAAGTACCGTAGTATTACTTACAATAGATAATAATAAAAATAATAATAACTGATTAAAATAATTAAATAATAAAGATTAATATTATGAATGCTAGAATAAAAAGAATTATTATCTAGTAAAGAAAAAAACTGTTGAACTAGAGTTGAAGATAATATAAAGTTTTATTTAAAAAATACCAGACGCGTACAGGGAATAAATTTGGTATGTATAAATACCATTTCTTTAAAGGGGGAGCACTTTTTCAAGAGGCGCCAAAAATAAAATAATAGTAAAAGCGCCCAAGGGCATTTTTTTTAGCGTCTATATTCACCTATTTTTTGATAAGATTTTGCATAAATTTAATAAAATGTTTATTTATATTTTTTATATTTATAGACAGTTTCGCCTTGCCCTTTTTTTGCATTGTACTAACAGTTTTTGAATATATGTCTATTTTCAATTTTTTAGTGGTCAAACAGGACAAAGCGCAGGGGAGCACGTGTCCCCCTCGCTCTCGCCCTGCCGACGGGCCTGATTTAAATGGGTTTTACTAAAAACTCGTTTATTAATTTTAAAATAGCATGTGAAGAAACTAATTTATGGAAAAAATATTAAAGAATATTTGCATTTTTAAATCACAAATATTTTTCATAAGAATGAAATGTTTCCAGCAACATGTAGTCTTTTTAAATTTCTTTTGCAAATTGTGAGCAACAATATTTTCTTAAATTAAATTTAACAAACAAAATAGCTGCCAAAATTTTCTTTGTGAGTTTGGATTTCCCTTCCGTTCAAATACCATTGACAATTGAAAAAAAAATACTATTTCACCCATTTCTTTATTGAAAAAGCAACCGATACCAATAATTTCACGGTTTAGATTGACGATCAATTTTTTGTGAATATTGTTATTACTGTTTCGTTTTAAACCTCCGATATTGTTATTGATGCTGTCTGCACAAATAGCCAAAACTTTTAAAGAAATACTGTTAGCACTAATGCATTTAAAGATAACTTCTAATAAAATATATGTTTCTCTATTTACACAATCCATGTTAATCAGCTGAATTTGCACTTCCTCTTTAACATCAAAATAACGAGCCAAAATCGGATACATTTTATCGTCTTCGTGGTTTGAATATTTCCACAACGCGTTCACAATTATTGCTTTACATTTTGAACGCGCACAAGAAATTTTATAATTTTAAATTATAAAATTTCTCAATTAGCTTTGATGGGCAATCAGCATGATTGAATGAATTCTAAAGCTATGATTGTGCTTGATTGTGTGGAATGCACTTGTTTCTTCTTGAATGACTAATATTTTTTCATTTTGACCAAAGCTCTGACTCTTCATCAACTGATTGTGATTTTGTTTAATAATATAGAAGCAACTAATTCTATTTTGTGTTTAAAAGATTTGCAATGATCTTCTATTTTAGACCGTCCACGACTACCAATGCCAAATAGGCTTTGACAAATAGTACGTTTGAGGAGCTCATCTTTGATCTGCGTTAAGAAAGAAAACATTTTCTTTAAATTATAATTAAATGTGTTTAACCATCTCTTCTTACTATTCATTTTTCGCATTTGATGTATAAATTTTTATAAACACCTTAAATTACTTTTTTATGAACATTAATTTTTATGAACGTTGTATTAAAATAAATGCAAAGCGTTATTTACAATAATTAGGAAAAAAAGACAATGTAAGGCAAACAAAATTTGCGTAAAACGAACGCATTTTCTTTGTTACAATTAAAAAAATCTTTCAAAATAATTTTTGTTCTTCTCTAATGGAAGTTTTAAAAACTTTTTTTTTTAATGTTTTAAATTTAGTTTCGAATTTCATTCATTTAGTTTCGATTCAATTTCAACTCATTTAGTTTCATCTTTTAAAGTTGAGTTTATTGAAGTTTTATTCATTTTGTTTTTTAACTATGTTTTAAAACTTTCATTTAATTTAAAAGTCTTTCAAAAAATTTTTTTTGAGAGAATTTTATAGGGTTCGGAAAATGTGTCTGCGCAGATCTGCGCTGACAAAGTATGCGCATATCTGCGCAGACGTCTGCGCCGACGTCTGCGCAGACACTAACGTAAAGGAAAAATTTAATTTATCTGAATCAAATGTCTGAAATTATTTTTGCATAATTATCTACTTTTTACGAGTTTTTCATTACTTATCTGTTTCTTTTTGGTTCGAGCTACATGTAATCAATCAATATAAACTTTTTTTTTTTTTTACTACAGTTTAAAGTGATTTAGAATCAAGAAATCGTGTATTTTCGTCATTCAAAATGTTTAAAATGGAAAACATCAAATTTTCGAAGTATTTGACAAATCTTGATCGAGAGAAGTGTTGTGGCACTTGTTTAGCATGTAACAAAATTGTTCAATGGTCGAAGGAACGCCTTCCAGCGCATAAAAGATCAACATATCCAAACGCCAGTGTCGAGAAAAAAAGATTGTTTTCTAAGCGTAATTATGAATCGTCACATCTAATCAATGATTCTCAGCAACTTCCGTCTACGTCTGATTCACCGACGCAGCGTGTACATCCACCAATTAATGAAGAGCTCAAAAATGATGTCGACACGAAGCTTGCTAATTTCTTTTACCGTATTGGTATATCACTTCGTTTAGTCGAATCGGAGGCCTTTAAGGATTTCGTTAAGTCGCTCAATCCATCGTATGCATCTGTCATCCGAAATGCTAAATCCTTATCAGGATCTCTGCTCGACAATCAATACACAAAATGTTCTACTTCTGAAAATGAAATTTTGAATTCTGAAACAAACTTAATACTGATGTCTGACGGCTGGACGAACATAAAAGGCGATCACATAGTGAATTTTTGTATTAAAGCGCCCAATCAGAAGCCTTTTTTTTACACCTCGATAAATACATCCGGAATCATTCAAAGTTCATCTGCAGTCGCCGCGGCAATCTTACAAGTTATTGAGAAGATTGGCTCACAAAAACTTACCAGTTTTATTAGCGACAACGCTCCTGTTATGAAATCAGCGTGGAGGATCATAGAGGAGAAATATCCACACATCTCGGTTAGCGGATGCGGAGTTCATGGAGTCAACTTGCTTGTGAAGGACATATTTTTTACAACTGAGGCCACAAAAACAGTCAAAGATGCAAAGAAAATCATCAAATATCTAAAAAATCATCACATCATGAAAGCAAAGTTTAATAATTTTATCACTGCTACAGTTGAATTCGCCAAAAATATCAAACCTGAAATTGCTGACACTGCTGAGGATGAATTGATTGCATTTATAGGAGAAATGGCTGCGCTGCCTGAGAGAAGAAAGAAAACAATATTCAAGATGAACGTGCGAAACTATTGGAACATTATCGGTCGCGATAAATATCATGCTGTTTACGAAATTGCTAAGCTTATTAACGAAATGATCTGCTCATCGGCTACAGCAGAAAGAGCTTGGTCGACCTTTCGATTTATTCACTCGCGACTAAGAAATCATCTTACGAATGTGAGAGCTGAAAAGCTGGTATGGACACAAAGGACAAGACTAATTACATTCTTGAAGAAGGTGCAATTCTCAATGAAATTGAATGTCAAGAAATCACCGAATAGGCGCCAGCATTATATATTTTTACTACTGTAAGAATCTTTGAAAACTCCTATTGTTACTAATCACTGAATTTATAAAAAAGTTAAAATATTACTTAAAACATTTTTTAAGTTTAAAACTTTTTTTGTTGATTTCAAAAAGTAAATTTTGTCGGCGTAAATTAAGTAAATTTTGCGCAGACAAATTACATTGTCTGCGCATATCTGCGCAGATCAGCGCAGTCCGAACCCTAGAATTTTATTTGCTTTTTTTAAATATATGAACGCGTACACAAACGCGTACAATCCCCCAACGCGCAAAACTACCGTCAAACGCTTACTGTACGCGCCAAACGCGTACGTATTGTCACTTTAAGATAATAGGATAAAAAAAAATACTAATACTAACTAAATATATAATAAAAACACCAATAAATATAAATGTAATAATAAATACTAAATATAGAAATAATTATTAAATCTACTATATACATTGAGTATGGTAACTATAGTAATAATACTCTTTTATTTTATGCATATCTGTCAAGATATGCATAGTTTAATTTTACTTAAAAAAACAGATGTTGAAATTGCGTCTCCAGTTTTTATGAAGTTAGGGAGATTGTTTCACTCATTGGTGCATTGATATTTAATAGAGTTTTTGCCATATATTATTGTTCGACTTAGTTCAACAAATATATTTTTGCATGATGAGGATCTGAGGAGATGATAGTGTTTGGAACTGGTTTGAGAGAAGAAAGAAGTGAAAGCAGTTGGGAGTCTACTGTGCAAGTAATCCCATACAAAGGTACAATTCATAAGTTTAATGTTGTCATAAAGTTTTAAAATCTGTGGTAATTTATATAACAAAGAAACATTGTTGAAATGGTCATTCTGAAAGTGGATGATTCTAATGGTTTTATTTTGTAGTGAGGAAATAATTTTTAAAGATTGATTTTTAGTTTGTCCCCAGATCTGGCAAGCATATTGTATTTGAGATCCAAATAAGGTGTGATAAATACTGGCTACAGTTTCTAATTTGACAAAGTGCCTTACTTTAGCCATCATACCAATAGATCGAATTAATTTTAACTGTAAATAATTATTTATAATCAAAATTAACTCGAACAAAATCTTTCTTTTAAATAGTATTTATAAGAAAGATTTTCATTCAGCATTATTCCAAGATACCTTACTGATTTTGAAGAAGTTAATATCTCTCCATTTATATAAAAAAAATTAAGAAGTTGATATCTATTTATATAAAAATTTAATTGCTTAATAATTTTTTGGTTTTAAAGACTACTAGTTTTTTTTTAGCATTGTGTGAGGTTTTATTAGCTCCCAGCCAGTCGAGAACTGATAATATGGCCTCATTGATTTTATTTCGAACTTTGTCAACAGTCTTCAATTATAAGCAAGTTAGCGTCATCAGCAAATTGGTAAGTAGAAAAATTATTCAGGCATGTTTTTAATTCATTGATGTATACCAAGAATAGAAGAGGCTGAAGGATAGATCTTTGAGGGATTCCCGAATTGACAGGTTGAGTTGATGAGGTAATTTTATTTATAGTTACAAATTGAAGTCTATGGTTTAAATAAGATTCGAACCAGTTCAGAGGAACTCCACTAGCTCCATAAAATGCTAATTTGGTTAGAAGGATACGGTAATTTATTGTGTCGAAAGCTTTCTACAAGTCAATAAACACACCACAAGCAAATTTATTTTTATCTAATGCTTTTCACATAATCTTTGTAAAGTCAATAAGTGCATAGGTAGTTAAATGTTTATTTCTAAATCCATATTTTAATTTATAAATGCAATTAAAAGTATCCAAATACTTGTATAATCTTATGTGCATCATTTTCTCAAATATTTTTCCTAAATTAGACAATAATGAAATAGGCCTGTAGTTGACAAGTTCAAGTTTGGAGCCATTCTTGTGAATTGAAATAACTTTTGCAATTTTAAAAAAGTCTAGGAATATTCCTTTTATAAATGAGATTTTTATTGTTTTACAAATGGGTATAGCTATAATTTTATTTGATAGCTTTAAAATTGAAGTAGGGATAAATATTTGGGCCTATACTTATCTTTGTATTCATTGATATAAGTTTTGATCTCCTTTGTTGTTCCTGGTGAAACAAAAAAAGAACTATGATTTGGGTTGTTTAGATCATCAAATTTAATATTGGTAATTTGGTAATTAGTTTTTATATACAAGTTTTTATTTATTTTTTATTATTTTCAATGTTTGTGTTTGTAACCTATATTAAAAATTAGAAACAAGCAGCATGTCAAAAAGTTCTTTATTATATCAATCAATATATTTTGTGTTAATAAGAATGTTACAAAAAAAAAATACAGGCCATTGCAAATAGTGATTCACTAATAAAATGCAATGACCTAAATAAGATAAAGAAAGACCTAAAAATTATTTAAATAGTTATGAAATATGGTAGGAAGGAGATCATGTTGTTGATCCTAAACAAATGAACAAATTAAGAGCTGAATTAAGTCATAGAAACAAAGAATTTTGGATGAAAGATACAAGATGTTACTTAAAGATTTTCTTTGGCAGAAATGAATTATTTGTATTGCTCTATTTTGAAGTGAAAACGATTTTAGAAAGACTGATGGTTTAAGATTGTTCCTATAACTTGATATGCATATTCTAAGTGTGAACCAAAAATTGAGTAATATGTAGATAATAACATTTCAAAGTTAACATAATGTCAAACTTTAGCTAACATACTAAATGAGATTTTATTTGCTTAAACCCATTGAGCAACACTGGCCATATCCTGAATATATATTTATTTAGTTTTTTGAGAGTTTGTTATTAATTGAAGATTAGTATCATCAGCAAAATGACATGTTTTTGAATGTTTGATAGAAAGATGAAGATCATTGATATAAATAATAAATAGAAGAGGACCTAACATGGATCATTGAGGGATATGAATGCAAATGTTTTTAATATCTGAGTATGCGCCATTTAAATTTACCAACTGTTGGCAATTGAAAAATTATAATTTAAATCATTGCAAAGATATGCAGCGTTCACCATAATAATTAAATAAGTAAATCAATGAAAACCCTACAAGCAAAGTTTTCGTTGTCAAGTGCAACTCTAATGCTTTCTGTAATTTCAATAAGAGCATGAGTTGTAGAATGCTTTTTACGAAATCCAAACTGGTGTTTATACAAACATTCATTTTGGTTTAGGAAGTTGTATAAATTATTATGAATAGTTTTTTCAAAGATTTTCATAGATAGTTGGTGCATTTAACCGTAGATCCTTTTTTGTGGACTGGAATAACTTGGGCTAATTCGAAGACTTAAGGAAATGTTCCTTTGCAAAATGAATTATTTAAAATGATACCCAGTGGTTTACATAAATTCCTGACACTTTTTAAGAGGTTTTGTTAAAAGACTGTTCAGTCCAAAACTCTTACCTTCTATAATAATGGAATTTATATAGTCGAGGGTTTCCTCTTTTGCTATTGGTTGCATAAAAAAAGAGTTGCTATTAGTTTTGAAAGAATCTAGAATTCAGAATTCCGTTGGATAATTTTGAAGCAATCCTAGTATAGAAATTATTAAAATGGTTGGAGCTTTAGGATTAGCATCGCATTAATTGTTGATGAGTATGATTGCTGGGGAATAACTTTTATTAGGCTTTACATTTATCAACTCTTTGATACCTTTCCAAGTGTTTTTTTTTATGTATTGATAAATGTGGCTAAAAAAATTTGAAATATTTCTTTTTGCTAAACTTTAGAAGATTACTTAAACTATTCAAGTATTGTTTAAATTTTTTTAACAAGTAAATTTTTCTACAGTTTTTTGATTTTAAATACTTTTTATGAAGTTTGTTTTTAATTGTTATTGACTTGAGATTGCCTTTTCACTGGTTCTCATATGTAATTATTTGGTACCTTTAATAGAAACAATTTTGTGTGCCTTTAAGTCTAACTGCAACTGTCTCCTCCATGTTCAATATTACTTCAAATTAACTATCTTAAATGATCTCTTTGAGTGCAGTAAAGTGTTATGCTAACTTTATTTGATGACAGACTGCTGCTGTTGATTGTGGTTGTTAAAGAGCTACTTTTTTCTTATACTTATTGTTTAGTAGTTGCCACCATTTATTAGATGGTTCATATTTCTTGAAAGAATGTTTAAATCATTTTGAAAGCTCGCAAACATATTCTAAAAAGTGTTTTTTTCCAAAACCAATACCCATCCTAGTTCTGTTATCATGAAAATCCAGTAACTTTTCTTAAAGATGGCATCCAACTTTTTTTCATGCTTTTGCTCTGATCTCAATTTTCCCATTTATTCGCAAAGTTCTAGATACTTCAAAACATTAGCAGCAGCTCTAACATGTTTTTTAGGTTCATTACAAACACTGTTTACAGCCTTAAATAACATTTCCTTTTCCATTTCACATATTTATTGCAAGTTGTGAAACAAACTTTCTTATCGCACTTTTTTATTTATCTCAAGTTTTTCTGATCATCAGTGATTCTAAAATGCAAATTATTATAATATAACTTAATAAGGTTTTTATCCCAAGACTAATTCTTAATATAATTTCATTTGAAAGCCATAATCTACTTAAGGCGAAAAAATATTTTTATGCTTTTTGCAAAAAAATATTGTATATATTAAAATATTTTATATTAAATATATTAATATTAAAAGGAATATATATGTATAAATTTAAATTTTGTTTATCTTTAAGTCATTTATGAACATAAGCGACTTATATTTATAGATTTGAATCTAATAATAAAAATATCTTATTTGAATAAATTACTTTAGGCCTCTTATGAACTAATTTCAGCCTTTCGCTGGTATAAAGTGTAGATATGTCCGCATTTCAGTCTTTCTACCAGATGTACTTAAGTCAGAATTGCAATCTATAAAAATGACTCAGCATAATCATAATGCTAAAATGATCTTTTTATGAACAGGGTTCGTACTGTACCTGGAAAACCTGGAAAATCAGCCAAATTTGGATAAAGTCATGGAAAACCTGGAAAAGTCAGGGAAATTTTTTTTTTTCTAGGTAGTCAGGGAAAAGTCAGGGAATTCTGATTGAGAAACTACTCGTTTTACAAATAAGCTATTATGTTTCTGTTGATGCTTCCCATTTATTTTGACAATTAAAAAATACCCTATAGTGTTTCACACCTTTACCACGCATATAATATTTTATTTTTAAAAATTTAACCACGGCTTTTTAACTTTTTTAAAACTTGAATATTTTTAAATGTATTTTAATAGGCAAAACGCTCTTATTACTAACAATTGTTTTAAAATATTAATCAATAAAAATATTTTATTTAAATTGTCTATGGTTATTATTTTATTTTTACAATAATAGTGTATGTTTCTTTTTTTTATTTATTATAAAAAAAATAATTCCTTTTTTTTATTTATTATAAAAAAACTAATTTTTTATGATCAATTTCAATTGTTTAAAACTATTTCTGTAATTTATTCTATAAACAACAGCATCTTTAACTTTAAACATTTTTGTGTCTTTAAAGCAAAAAACTTCTTTTTTTATTTTAAGTTACATAAGTTACAGAAAGTTTCAAAGATTTTCAACTTTGTTGAAAACTTTTGAAAGTTTTTATTAAAAAAGTAATGGTTTCTATAAGCATTACAATGACTATTAGATTAAAATCCTTATGAAAATGAATTTTGAAAATTAAAAAAAGGTTTTTAAAGTTAATACAATGAAATTTGTTACAGTGCCCTATGTTATAAATATAAATCATTTTGAAATATTTTGTTTCCATTTTTAGAATTAAAATAATGAATAAAATAGAAAAAAAAGCTTATTTTAAAGAAGAATGGTTAAATAAAGACATTTACCCTCATTTTGACTCTTGGCTAATGAAAGGAAAAAATAACACCCAGGCAAAATGCAAATTATGCAATAAAATAATTGAACTTTCAAACATGGGTATTTAGCAATAAAAAGTCACGAGAAAGGAAAAAAACATGTTTCAGTTGCAAGCAATTTCTCTTGTTTTTTTAAATCATCTGGCTCTAAAAATACTAATTCACCTAATTCAGTAGAAGAGTCTAATTTAAAGACAACTGATAGTTTCTCAACAGGACAAATGAAGCAGCAATCTTTAGAACTCATCGTATCAAGTTCTAATAAAATCTGTGCAGAAATTATGTGGGCATTGCATTGTTTAAATAGAATTTCTAACAATTCAAACAAAAATGTGACAAATTTGTTTCAAGCAATGTTTCCTGACAGTGAGATTGCTAAATCTTTACAAATGGGACCAAATAAAGTTGGATATAGCATCACTCATGGTCTTGGGCCTTATTTTAAAGGTTTACTTAAACAACAAATGAGCCTGTCTCCTTGGCTTGTCGTATCCTTTGATGAATCACTCAACAAAAAAACTCAAACTTGTCAAATGGATTTACTCATCCAGTATTGGAATGAGGAAAAAATGCAAGTTGAAGTGAGGTATTGGGATTCCTCATTTATGGGACATAGTACTAGTCTTGATTTGGTAAATCATTTTAATGAAAAGATAAGTGATATTAATATCAGCAAAATTGTTCAGGTCTCTATGGATGGACCCAGTGTCAACTTGAAATTTCACAGAGACATTCAAAGCAAACGTGAAGAGCACGAATTATCTAAACTTATTGACATAGGCTGCTGTTCCCTACACATAATTCATGGTGCTTTCAAAACAGGAGTAGAATCAACTGATTGGGAACTTAAAAAGACATTTAAAAGCTGCTTTACCTTATTTCATGATTCTCCTGCCAGAAGAAGTGACTTTATCAGTATCACTGAAGGTTCTGTGTTCCCGCTTTCATTTTGCGCAACCAGATGGGTTGAAGACAAAAAGGTAGTGGATAGATTAATTAGTATTTGGCCATCTATTATAAAAATTGTTAATTATTAGGAGTCTCTGCCTAAAAGTAAACGACCATCTTGCAAATCATATAAGTTTGTTGTAAATGCCGTTAAAAAAGAACTTTCTCTTGTAAAATTCCAGTTTTTTAGCTACCTGGCAAGCATGTTTGAACCGTTTCTGAAGCTCTATCAGACAGATGTTCCAATGTTGCCTCACATGAATGGTGATCTTGTGCAGTTGATTAAGAGTATTCTTAGGATGTTTATTAAATCTGAAACTATTGAGGCTACCTCAAAACTTACCAAAATTGATCTGCAAAATAAAGAGAACCATTTGAAACCCAGTGAAATTGATATTGGGTTTGCTGCTGAATTATCACTGTCAAAGCTCAGAAAAAATGATGCAGTTATTTTGAAGGATATGAAAGAATTTAAAATTCAATGCATGCACATTTTAATTTCAGCTGCTGAAAAGTTATTTAAGATGTCCCCTTGATTCTGTGATTGTTAACACAGGTACTTGTTTGCTTCCAAATTTTTATGCTCAGATCACACCTGAAAAAAATAGGAATCAAATGAAAATATTGCTGCATCATCTTATTTCACTTGGAATATTAACTGCTTCTTATTCTGACAAAGTTATCAGCCAGTTCTCAAAGTTTATTTCATCAGAATTTGCTCTGAATCAGGATGTTTTCATTAGTTATGATCGAAATAATAAACGTCTTGATGATTTTTACTTCAAAAACATTGACATAAAAAAGTATCCAGAGTTGTCATCTGTCATTAAGTTGGTTTTGACTCTGAGTCATGGACAGGCATCAGTTGAACGGGGGTTTAGTGTCAATAAGGATGTGGTTACCGATAATATATCAACAGATGGTATTGTTGGACGGCGTCTTGTGCGTGATTTCATGCTTACCAACAACCTCAACCCCCACTCTGTCCAGATTACATCAGAAATGAAAGTTGCCTTTAAATCTGCCCGTCAAAAATACCAGATCATGCTTGAGGAAGAGAAGTCAAAGAATAAAAAACATGCTATGTTAGATCAGAAAGCCATTATTTTGTCTGAAATTGAAGAGCTAAAATCTAAAATGGGTTTCCTTACAAAAACTTCATTGATGCTAGAAAAAGAGTTTGTCTAAACTGTGGAACAAGCGGAAAAAGAAAATTGGTCAGCAAAGCGAATGCTTTAAAAAGGAAAAGCGAGGAGAAAATGAAAGACGTAGCTAAGTTGCAGGAAACATTATTGATATTAGAAGAGAAGAGAAAGAAACTGAATTAACAATAGTTGCTTTTTGACAATTTGTTTGTTTATATAAAATATTATTTATGTTGACATTTATGCAAATATGGCTAATTAAAAAACTTTAATTATATTTTCAAAATAAGATTTTGCTTAAAAAATATATGCAATTTAAAATTAAAAGTTTTTTTTTTAATGTTTCTAAGCATGTTTGGTTATACTGTGCTATTTTTATCTAAAAGTATTATTGAATTAGCGAAGGTACAGCTACAAATAGTGATAAAAAACAACTAACCCAAAGTAGTCTCTGTTATAGACCAAATATTGCTCAAAATGTTGAAAGATATCTACATAGACATTTTAGTTTATTTTTGTGTTAGTGAAAAATAATTATATATAAAATATTTTATGTGCATAATATTTAGATTTTCTTGAAGATCATCTGAAACTAAATTTTATGTGCATAATATTTAGATTTTTTAAGAAGCTCACCTGTTGTTTATTCTTAGTCATCCTTAATAATATGGATAATAAAATCTATACTAACATCCAACTTAACTAATAGCTAAGTTTTATAAGTTTTGTCATTCTAAGCATGTACATTTTAGCATTTTCATTACAGTAGTAAATTTTAACATTTTATAAAAACCATTGCAAATGTTAAAAATGGTCAGGGAAATTCATCTGATTTTTCAAAAAAGTCAGGGAAAAGTCAGGGAAAAGTCAGGGAAATTTTTATTTTTGGCTACGAACCCTGTATGAAGTATAATAATAGTTTTAGTTAACATTAAGTGATAAATATTAATGTTTCAAACCTGAATGTTTACACGATAGTGTAAACCTAAAGTAGTGATTTATTTGTTGTGATATTACTTTGTTTGTAGACACCCTGTGTTTATACAAAATGTTTCAAAAAAGTTTTATTCATAAGCATAAAGCAGAAACCAAGACAGAGATTATATTTATTCTTTTAGAAAAAAATTGATTAAAAATTCTATAAACTTTCCATTAGTATACATGCTAAGGTGTTTCATGGAAATGTATATGCCCTTATCAAAAGTTAGTTTAAATAACAAAACTCTAAGCATAAAATTAACAGAATAATAGTTAAAAAAAGTAGTTAAAATATAACCTCTAACAGTTTCTAAAATGTTAACTCATATAATAGCATGTTCAGTATGAGCATTAGTCAAAAACTGCAACAATTCATAGTTTTAAAATGTTATTTTTTGTTAGAATTTATTTATTTGATGGTTACTTAAGTTTAATATAAACTTAAAATCTTTTTTTTAGAAAGATGGAAAGTGAATTTAAAAAAGAATTAAAAAACTGTGTTATTAAAACCATTGACAGTAGGGCATTAGATTTAAATGGTATAAGTCAGTGTATATGGGAACATCCTGAATTGTGCTTTCAAGAGAATTATGCTCATGATTTGTTAACTACTTTCTTGGAAAAAGAGAAGTTTGTTGTTCAAAGAAAAACTCCTCTTGAAACTGCTTTTATTGCAAGGTATATATATGTTAAACTTAATTTAGCAGGTAAAAATAAACTTATATATAATCAATTAGATAAAAGAAGCTTTTATATATATATATATATATACATATATATATATATATATATATATATATATATATATATATATATATATATATATATATATATATATATATATATATATATATATATATATATATATATAAATTGTTTAGTTTGAAGATATTGTACTTTAAAATACACAACTGACATAATTAAACTTTTAACAATAAAATTTTTAAAATATCTTTATTGAGTAAACATTTATTTGCATTACGGTTTTCTATTACGCAACAAAATTTTATAAAAAGCCTGGAGTAAGAGTTTTGAAATTTTGTTGATGTACAAGGAAAAAAACTAGAAAAAAAAAATTTTTATAATGTGAAGGGACAGGTACAGTAAAAGGATAAGACTTTGCCTAATGACAAGCCAAACAAGAATAAGTTTTGATTGATCAAACTCGAAATAATAGCTCAATAAAGCAGTGACCATGATTTAATAATAAAATAAAATCTAAGCTTATTCTATAACTTACTATGGAAAACTAACAAATCAGTTTTCATAAGAAACTAACAAATCAGTTTTTTTTTAAAGAGATGGCAGATAAACTAGATCCAATTTCATTTACAATGTACTTTTGGACTTTGTCTTAGTAAGAGGGCTGTTATTTGTCAATATAGGAATGTCTACAATATTATTATAGTTATTTGCAGTAAATAACTGAGTTTTGCTGGAGTTAAAATCTACAAACCACTGCCAACCTCAAGCTGTTTCAGAAGAGAGATTAGATTGAAAATGGGTTGTTTGTTTTAAGTGTTTAAAAAAAAAAAAGATTTTTTGTCAAGGCATGAGTATAAATTTGAGTTATCAGCAAATGGAGCCACTTTAGATTGTCAGTAAGATTGTTATTGTAGATAAGAAACAATACAGGAGCTAAGATAAAACCTTGCAGTACTCCTAATGTTACTGCGGTTAGAAAGAAATAGTTTAATAATCTTTTAATTTAATATAGCTTTTATATAAAGAAACTAATAGAAAGACCATAGGAAAGATCAAAGTGTTTTTTAAAATTGGAACAACTAATTTTGCGTTTGTTAAAAGTTTAGCAAGAATTTAAGAAAGTTCTAGAGAACACTTTTTCAAGACTATTATGGTTATGTTGTCTGAACCACCGGTTGTATAAGGTTTAAATTGAAAATTGACTCTAGCATCAGAAGCTGGAGTGATTTGGATATATAACAATGGATTAATCTGTTTAACTGGAATGATAGCCAGCTTATCACTATGATTAAAAACAATGTTGGTATCCTATCAGTTCAAATTAATCTTGATAGCCTCAAAGAGTTTCTAAGTTGAAATTTGGTGAAAAATCTAACAAAAATCTTGATCAGTATTTTTATTATGAAAGACTATATAAAAGCTTTTTTATTTTATTAAAATTAATAAAAACTGAGCAAAACCTTGGTTCAGCGTGGAAAATAACGGCCAGTCAACAATTAATGACTGCCCAGAATGACTTCTTGTTGGTCATGGTTTGCCAAAAAAAACAGCCAGAGTTCTGAAAAACAATGTTTGACAAAAAATCAAGATGTAATTTGGAAAAAGCATATACTAAAATTTCATAAAATCATTTAAATTTTGAAAATGCATTTAAAATGGTTTTATTGTTACCATATGCAACTTTATTTTGAAGCTAAGTGGTGTTACCAGTGCATATACACTGATAATAAACTCATTAAAAATGCTATTACTATTGCACTAATCGTATCACTCTATTTTTGCCATGACACATGCATGTTTAAACTGAAATTAATCAAATTTAAAAAAGATATTTAAATTTGTTTAGTGTATTTAAACTGAAATAAAATAAATTTGAAAAAAACATAAAAAAAATTTGCTTTAAATTGATAGATTGCTTGCACAAACCAAAACCCTCAGTTGATGTATGTAATATCCTACATACATACATACATGTAGTATCCCTGTATGTTCTACCTATTTAGTCAATGTAAGTACTTCATTGACTAAATTGACTCCTTGCATGTTTTACCTATAAGTCAGTTCAGAGCCAGATTTATATCTTTGGAGGCCCTATACTGAATCAATTTTCAGGGCTCTCAAAAATATTTTGAAAAAAAAATTATTATATAGTATATATAGCATTAAACTGCTTGTTGTTTGCTTTTCTACCTTCAATTCTTTAGTTTAGCTCTATGGTTTTTATATAAATTTTTTAAAGAATTCCTTTGTGCAGAATTACTTTACAAGGGATTTAGTGTTGCAATCATTAATGGTTGTGTTTTCTCCTCTCTTTATTATTTAATTCTACTCTCTGTCTAAATAAATTTATAAAATAAAGTAAATTAAAATTTATAATCTAAATTAAATTAAAACATAAGTTTTATATTCTAGTACTTTCTAATACTGTTATCATATTTGAGGTGATTTTTCTTTTAGACACCATTCAATAGGGCATTGTAAACGTTAAATCTGATCTAGCTGTCGAGGTTAAGCCTCTGTCGTGTCAATTCAAGGTGGCATCTCTTTATTTTTTTAATACTTCCATATTTGCTGCTCAAGTTATTGTCACTTGTTCCATCAACTAAAACTCGTGTGACTTGTCATTCAGCTAAGTTGCATCCTGTTCATTCTACTTCAACTACTATTCTTCTAATACTGCTTTTGTTAATCTAGATTTTTTTCCTCAAACATAAGCACTTTAGAATTCTCTCACATCTTTATGTTTTTTTTGTAATGCATATTTAAAAATTTAATGAAAATTTAGAAAATATTTTTGCTTCAGAAAATGTACTGAAATAAAAATTAAATTTAATAAAAACATTCTAAAAATGTATGTGAGTATCTCAAAAGAAATAATATATATATATTTTTTTCTGTATAGATATGGCGATGCAACTGGGTTGAAAGTTGGTGTTTTTTGTGAGTATGATGCATTGCCTGGTCTTGGTCATGGATGTGGTCACAACCTGATAGCAGAAGTTGGTATTGCTACCGGACTTGGTAATATTATTATATAAAAAATATTTTTATATTAAGTAATATTGCAAGAAATGAGTAAAGATGACCAAATTTGACTAAAATTTTAGCATCAAGGAGTTATTTGATACATCAATTATCAGTTGATGTATCAAACAACTTAAACTATTTGGTCATCTTAATACTTAAACTCTTAAACTTCAAAGCTCTCAATATTGTTTAAACTCTTGCACAAGAAAAAAATGCAATGTGTACTTGTTTGCAAAGTAAATTGTTGTTCTTTTTATTCAGGGATGTAAAGTTCTCCCATATAAATTCAAATCTAAGCATATTCTATAACCTACTAAGAAAAATTAACAAATCAGCTGTCAACTACAAATGTGAAAAAAATAGGTAATCTTTGTTAAAATTGAAATTTTAACTAAGATTACCAAATTTTTTCATTTTAGTTTTGTTTTTTTTCCTTCTCTCGTTGTTTTTTTGTTTGTCAATAGGTCAGAGGAGCCTAGTCAGAGAAATCAGAGAGGCCTATTTTGTTTTTAGGATTGTTTTTTTACCTTATGTTTTTTTCTAATCTTTTGTTTCATTTTTATAAAGTTAAATCAATTTAACCAAGAATAGAGTAAAAGCAACCTACTTACACTTGATTTTTGTTCACTCATCAAAAAATCAAATAAAACATACACAAATAAACAAAAATTAGTCAGCTATATTAATAAACTTTCTACAAAACAAAATTTCATATATTTTACATGTTTGTTATTAAAGAAAACCACAGAATTTAAAAATTGTTCTGAAAAATTTCAGTGAGTTTTGCAATAATTTGTAAATAAGGAAATTTTGCAATAATTTGTAAATAAGGAAAATCTTTTCAAGGATAATTGTTTAGATTGAAAGCTGTATATAAGTTTATAAATTAAATCTTAAACATTTTATGTAAAGTTTTAAGACAAAAATGTAAATAAATTTTTAGCATTTTTATATAATATACCATTTAATTAATAAAAGGGAATAAAACTAAAAAGTAGATTAAAAAGTATTATACAGTTGTGAAAATAGTTGATTTTAATCTTTTAGAGAAAATAGAACTAAAAAAATTTAGTGACTGATAATATAATTCAATCAATTCAGGGTAGTTTAACAAATCCAATTAATTTAGAGTAGTTTAATGAATATATACTTTACATTACCATATGTAATTTATTATATTTTTCATTATCATTTATATTTATTAAATGAAAATAATTTTTATTGAAATAGCAATAATATTAACAATACAAGCAACAGTAATTATTGCTATTATTATTCAAAAAACAAACATTTTGATTGGCAGCCTGTCCACTGTTTTTGTTTCATTGGGTATTTCTATCTCTAGAACTCTTTTATTACTTTCTAAAGCATGTATAAATATTCATTTCAATCTTGACATTTTTCATGAAAAGAATAATAATAAAAAAATACAATCATATTTTTCAAATTCCTCTGTACATATATATATATATATATATATATATATATATATATATATATATATATATATATATATATATATATATATATATATATATATATATATATATATATATATATATATATATATATATATATATATATATATATCTGTGTGTGTGTGTGTACATACAGCTATGACCAAAAAATGGGGACCTTAAATATTGAAATAAAACATCAAAATTTTTTTCAATTGTTCAGCTCAGCAATGATATATTAGTAAATAAATAAGAAAATTTATATTTTTCAAAACAATTTTGTAAAATTATAACTCAACAAACTTTTCTTCATGTTTTTGGTAAAAAAAATTAAATGTTCTCCAAATTATGCTTTGTAAGCACCTGTTTTTGTGTTAGTGAACTTTTTTCCAAAAATGTTTACAGTGAAAGTCATAAACATGTTTTTCACATGCAAGCTGTAATATAAATGAACCCTGTGTTTGTGCCAGAATATTTTCCTGTATTAGTTGCAGTTGTGTCAAAGCACAGACCCTTTATATAAGTTCTTAGATTATATTCATCCAAAATGTTTATTAAAGTATCATGATGAGATTTTTCAGTACCATGTTCCATTGATGGAATGCCAAGAAGTTTTAAATCACCATCGATATTTAAAAGAACAGCAAAACGATCTCTTTTTTGCTTTGTACTGTTAGTAATTATATTATATATTTATATGATTATTATTGGGAATTTACTTTGACTTGCAGCTTTTATTATAGCTTCTTGATATTTAGCTGCAGTTGTACTTACTGTTTCTTTTTTGCACATCTTATGGTGATGGTGGTCACATGTGATGGTGGATTCAGAAAGTGAAAAATCTGTCAAACTGCCCCCAGAGAGCAAGTGCATCATATTTCTAGATGAAATGTTTTTAGAAACACCTGCAATTGTAACTTCTTTTACAAATTTTTTAAATAATACTGTTGAAGCACTAGTACCTGATTTAATTTTGTCTGCTGAATAGTTGGAATCCTGACAAGAAGAGATAATAAAAACTGTTGTTAATAAAAATTAGATAATAAAAATTATGTTGTTGTTTATACTTATTATTATGTAGGTTTAAATAGTTATTTTTGTTCATTCGGCATCTGGCTTCATCATCTGTTAAAATAATTTAAACAATAGTTAACGGGTGACGGGTAAAAACATTTAATCAAACACATGTCAATGTTACCCACTTGTCAAAGCGTTACCTTACACAGCATGTTATACTTACATTATATACAGCTTTAACCTTTTAATAGTCTTTTTAATTATGGACGCTATTAGTCCAGGTTTTTTTTTTTTTTGAAATTTTTTTACTAATAAATTAAAAAAAGTTTTTTCTATTTTTAACGCTACAAAATGTTATTATTCAAGTTTAAGAATATATAATTATACTATATCACAGATGAGTATTTGACTTTATAAAAATCCCGGAAATTTTTTTCTATGATAATCCCGGAAAATTATTTTATTAAAAATTGATAGCATTTATCTGACAAACGGAATTTAGATTATTTTAAAACAGAATTTAGATGATTTAAATTTTAAAAAAAAGGAATTTCTAATATTCGAAAAAGTTTGAATGAATTTAAAAAAAGAAGCAAAAAAAAATTGTTATGAAAATTGATCTCGTGAAAATCTTAATTATAGAAAACATATTTGTTTAAATGCAAAAGTTGTCGTATGTAAAGTTTTATGTAAAAATGTATTAATTTTTTTCAAATTAATATCAAAAAACATCCGGAAATTTCTGGAAAAATTAAAGGTGTTTTAAGTGAACTTCCAGAATTCCGGGAATTTCCGGAAAAAACTCATCTATGTATATAAACACAAAATTTTTAAAAATCTTAACTAATTTTCACTTTTTGTTTGATAATTGGAAAATAATGGAGCTACACAAAGTCCTCCATCACATTCTACACATTCATATCTTGAATCTTTTCGAATTTTGTGTTTATTACACACCATCTCCTAGCATTAATCTTTCATTATCATTTTCATTAATCATTCGTCAAATATATAATTTTCTATCTCTTTGTGAATATTTGCTTTTTCGATAATGATTTTTGCACTTTCTTATCTGCAATATTTAAAATTAAACACGTGTAAAAATGAGTTATTGAAGCAAAAGCTCTGTAATTATGTACTAATAAATTTTGTGATCAGTAGACCTAAAATTACTGATGAACAAGAAGGAATTATAAGGAGATGCATAAAACCGTAATATTGTGTCATGGACATTTGGGAACCATTTCCAGTTTGCATAATATTATGCCATGTACATTTAGAGACCACTTTAAGTTTACATAATAATACAGCATGGACTGTTAAAGGGTTAATGTTATTAATAATAACTGTCCCAAGAATTAAAACTTGATTTAGAATTGATAAAAAATCATTACGCGTCACTTATGTATCAAAAAACTACTCTAAAAATTGAAAATAGTTAAGGAAGAACTCATTAACTGATGTTAACTTAAATCGTCATCTTGTCTTGCATACGGGGTTAGATGACGGTTTGAGTTAAAAAAGTTTAACACTTTAACCTTTACATTCCGAAGTATGCCTTTTAGTGTTCTGACTAGTTCCAAAGTACATCTTTTGGCGTTTTTAAACATACTTATATATTTTACTCTAAAACTCAAAAACAAGAGGTTGCATTGCATTTCTGACTTTAATTTAAAATCAATGGTCCACAGCAGTCCAGACAAACAACAACTTTACATGGTTTTAATATAAACTTTGTTTATATTTTTACTTTGAAAACCAGTTACTTCATGACTTCCTGAGGTTGCCAATTGACACAATCGCAAGTTAAAAACATTATTGATGAGCTCGAAAAAGTAAGAATAATGATTCTAATGATAAATAACTGATTTGTCATGGTTGTATATATATTTTTGTTCTATTTCTCTAACCTTAGAAAGTTTATTTAAGCTTATGATTTGAAATCTAAAATGTTATTTACACTTCTTGTCAACTTTGTTTTATTGTTTATACTTTATTTTAGAGACATTATTTATGTTTAATTATATGTAAAAAGTACTAAAGAACATGTAATAAAGTTATATTTAATTAAGGTAAAACACAAGTACTCTATAGAAAAGTATTTTCATGTGTTTAGTGTCAATACATTTTCAAAGCAACAAAGTATTTTGTTGGTTTCTTTAAATATTTACTTATAGTTTTGCCAAAACTATGACTTCAAATTTTTCAAAATGTGTAAAAAATTAAAGCTATTTAAATATGCTTATGGTATGTTAAAAAAATTTAGTTTTATTACCTACATAAATGTTTCTTTCTGTTTTTTTCTCAAAAAGTGTCACTTTATTGAAAAAAGTGCTATGTAAAATCTTTCTTAAATAAAAAACGTTTTTTAGAACAACACTGTATACATTTTTTAATATGTATGGTTTTAATCTATATAAGTTATATAAATATACTCATTTCCCATTTAGAAAAAACTTTACTTCAAGGTTGAGATATTATGATAACATAACAAAATTCTTATTTTTCATATACCTACAA